GCACAATTGCTAGTTCTTACTCCAGGCTAAAGTGTGTAACTTTGAGGTTGCTTTTTAACTGCTTTTCAATGTTGCAGTACCTCTGGAGCAACGTAGGAAGCAGATGACAGAAGCAGTTACACTTAGCTTATCTATACAAAATATCTCATCATAGTCATTATTCTCCCCACATCTCAACTTTACATTTGAATGAAAATAGAAGGTCTTGAGAAATGTATTTTTTACGTAGGATAAATCCTCTATTTCAGAATTGGGGGTTGTAAGATCGAGGCCTTTTTGCACTTAAGATGACACAGACACACTGTTACTTCACTAAATTTTAAAAGGGCCTTTACATCTAATAGCCACTGTTCACTTGTGGGATCCAGATTTCTTTACACTCTTAATTTTATGGCTGTTCTAGGAATTACAGTAATTTCTCTTTCATTTACAAAGCACATTTATAAAAACACAGAATTCCTTGATATTGCTGATGTCACAAGGTTTAATCTGTCAGGAAGTGATTCTTGCAAGTAAATAAAAAAATGTGACCATAATTGACAAAAGGTACCTTATGGCGGATTTTTAAATTCATCATTATAATAAAATATAACAACCTGTGAGTGCTCTGTTAGCCAACAAATGTTTCTGAAAGTTACATAGTAACTTTTTCCATCCTCTGGATTAATTTTATGATAAATGGAGGTCAGGAAGTTGGATTTTTAAGGCTATAAACACCAATTTTCCTATCCGCCATAAGGTACCTTTTGTCAATTATGGTCACAAATATTCTGTTAATCAAAAACTTTATTTGTCGCAAAATTTTAGAAACAGTGGGGTTGAGTTTAATTATATCATTATTAGTTCAATTAATAATCATAAACATTAATTAATAAAGAAACAATTAGTCATAAAAATTATTCTAAAATTTCGGCCCTACATTGCAGAAAGTGACAGAATCTACAATAGTTGTTGAACTTAGGCAAAACTCTAAGTTAATGACATTTGTTTGGAAGTATGTAGTACAAATACTGGTTCACAATATGATGTTTAGGCCCATGTACCACAAATTTTTAATCAAAAGCATGGGCAAGTTGACTTTTGTCCTATTCTTTTCTAATCCAGCATCAATGTATTGTCAGGCCTAGGGTAATATTGTGAACCAGCCGTAATACAAACAATAGGTAGTCAATCAGAATTAAAAATCGATTCACAAGCTAGAAGATCATTGCTTATTTTTCTCATATGATCATTATAAAATTTTCCTTAAATGGTCTTCACTATAAAAATCATCTTCATGTGAAATGAATCAATAATAACATCAACACTTATTTTTTGTCAGGGACTCAGTGTAACTCTACAGCTCTTCATTTTTTTAGTTTCTGCAAAGTAGGGTCGAAATTTTAAATATTTTTATGACTACCTTTTGCTTTACTAATTAATTTTTATTATTCATAATTGAACTTATAACTAGACAGATGCAAAGCATTAATGGGGTGAGCCTGAGCATTTAACATTATGAAAAATTGAACAACATCAATTATTGCAGCAAAGGGAACATGAATTATTAATCATAATGAGTCATAATAATTGAATATATGGAAATGTTACATAAGTACTGCTTCACTATGTTCTGCTTATCATACAGAGCTTTTATTGCCCAGCATTAAACAAACTCTCTTTTATTGAGGAGCCATCAAAATCTTTAACAATCTGCTTTAGTTGGTCATTATAGGCAATGAGGTGCCATTTTTACCATCTTTTCCAGATATCATGAACTCGGCCAATTTATAAGTGAGACACCTGCTTAACTTTACTGTAGCTTTGCACTTGCAACATTTCCCAAGTGACTAAGTTGTAGATACTACTGTTCCTTGACAGTTGACACGGCTCACTTAATCGGACATCTGTAAGACTGCGCTAACTTCTCCATTAGCTATCATTGGTGCGACATTTGCTTCTACCTCAATGTCATTTTCATCATCACTAGATATTTCTTGAATAGCTTCTATTTCTTCAATGATAGAACTATTTCATACAGACAGATATTTTACAGTATCAAATTGCCTCACAACTACATCTTTCAATTTCTAACATCGGTCTGTAAGCAATTTGTTGACATCTTGTTGCCATAAAATGGCACAGCATCTGCCAATGCAATCACGTAGACTACAGTCTTGCTTAGTCAAATTCTTCCCAGCTTTAGACATGACATCAATACTAGCCTATACCTTCATGATCTTTCCTGTTACTGTTACAGTTGATCAGTTGTGGCTGTAGAGATAGATTTTTGGCTCATCTCATCAGTGCCTAGCTTAAATTCTATTCGAGATTGTTGCAGGACTGTATTTCATGCAGTATTAATTTCCAACTATGAATCAAAAGAGCTCATTTGAATTTTACAGCCACAGGTACATTCTCTACTATATATTTTTCAAAAGATGATCTTAGGTTGGAATCAAAAGAAACGAATATAGCATGACCTATACCATCAAAAAGTTTTGCAGTAAAATAGCGGCAGTTGTCTGTTGCTCCAGGTTTTTACAGGAGATAAGTAATGCAACCATGAACTGCAGCATCTTTATCTCCTTGTACTTCATGCACCTCATAATTACGTTTGGCGGGTCCTTGGGAAGAGCTGCTTTGGTTGTCATTGGATGCTATGTATACTGTCTCAGAAGAAACTGGAGTTGGTCTCGGCTCGAGCTTAGGATGACAGCTCAAAATTTCCTAAACTTGAGATGAGTTTTGGCTCCTCGACAGCTCAGGTAGCGTCGCTATACTAGGCACTAGGCAAACACGTGTCACGTAGTAATGTAGACAGACAAATTCTGTATATAGCATTTTAATTTAGGCCTAGATATAGTCAGACTCAATTTTTAGTATACTATCTATTTTAGGTTTAAGTTGAACAAGATGGAGGGAGAAGTTAATGAATTTCATGACTGCAGAGATTGGGTGAAGCAATATGAAGACTAGCAGAAGAAAGTTGAAAAAAACGAGAAGGAATTAAAGTCTGCAAGGAAATTTTAAGGAACTACAAGAGGACTTTAAAGTAACTGGAGAAAAGTAAGGAAAGATCAATTGTGCTTTTAATACACTACAAGCTAATTATAATAAATTACAAGGAGAGCACAATAAGTTACAAGGAGAGTACAAAAAGTTACAAGGACAGCAGAAGTTACAAGCTGCTAACAATAGACTTCAAAATTTTTATGACAGACTTAAAGTAAATGATAAAAGCTTCCATTGGATAGCGATAAAATCAAGATCAAACTTACAAATTTTAAAGTAGAGGAAAACAGCGAAAGTTATAAAAAATAGCTCCAGAACAATTGGAACAAGTATCAAGAGAAAGGTCAGAATAAAAGAAGTGGAAGGAGATCGAGTTCGCCAAGAAATTAAGGAAAGGAAGAAGCCTGAATGATGTACCTTTCAATCAATGAATGGCTATACTATAATAGCATGGTTATAAATCTTTTCATAATGATAAAGTCAATGGTCACTTAAAAATAATATGAATGTAGTTTAATGTCTGTGATCTTGCATCTTCTTGTGAAGGAGATGGTGGCCAGTACCATTGCGAAAATGCGTCACAGAGTCATTGGCCCCCCACCCTACAACCCGTTTGGGACCTATTTGAATAAAAATATCCACATGTACAGCAGTAGTTTTAAAATACATTTGAAACAAAAACTAACTGATCAATCCTGAAGTTGGTACAGCAGTCAGGTCACTGCATGTGCTGTACTGAGTCATGATACATAGCCCATTGAAAGAAAAGTAAAACAAATGTAAATAATGACTAGAAAGAAAAAAGTTACATTTACAAGGCAAAACAAGTTGCATCTTTTCTTCCTTTCTTCACTGAACAATGCTACAAACAGTGACCTATCACAGCGTCGTTTCTTCCTTTCTTCAGTGAGCAATGCTACAAGCAATGACAGCCACCACCCACAGTGTGTATGGCTACCACAGCATTGCAACATGAACTAACTTGGAGGAAGATGTTACCTTTTTTTTTCTTTGCATGTATGGCTACTACAGCACTGTAATACACAAACAGACTTGCTTCTTTTCTTAATTTGATATAAAATACATAAAAGTAGTGAGTTCTGTTGCATAAATGTAATTTTTGCACATGTATATCTTTGTATTGTAAACAAATTTTAATGGTGTAGCTTCTCTTTAGTGTATCACATGTTTTAGTGTGGTAGTTATGCATATAGAAAGAGGGGAAGAGACTTAGCAAATGAAAATGGAGTATGTATTATGATAAATTATAATTATTGGCTAGTAGTTTATACTTATTTTTGTTATTTTAGAGCATGTCATACTTGGGTTGTGTTCCAATTTTTTTGATGTTTCATTTCCATTACTTTTCATGACTGATAATGTGATGATGGTGGAGATAGTGTTATCCATTCCATGTGCGAGAAACATCTTGATAATCTTGACTACATATAGATTGTAGGGGTGAAGCTGATGTTAGAAGACAAGGTGTTATCTACTCCATATGTGATGCGTTTTCATCTTTATTGATGGGTACTTGTATGTTTTCTATAGATGGTTCAGTTATTGGTTCTTGAAGACTAAGCAAACGTTGATCTTTCCCCTCCAGAAGACATTTACTATAAGCAATGCTTGAGTCGTTGGGTCGCATCAACAGAATATCCTTCAACTTCCTCACTCAGGAACAAGCAACAAATATCAGTATACAAGAGAACTCCTTCCCTACATCAACGACTACTTTATCCACAGTGAGTCCCTAGGACTTGTAAATATTCACCGCCCACGCTAGCTTAAGTGAGAGCTGAAGGCCTGAACATTGACCACTGGAAGGAGACCAATTACGGCCTACTGGAGTGATTGGTACAGTTCTATCATGCACAGTAGGTCCAGTGTAATGATCAAACCGTTCCATGACAGCCACTGGTAGATGAAGTGTGGTTTCTTTGTAACAGATAGCTTCAACTGTTCCCATTGCTGCATTAACTAATCCAACTTCAACACACAAGTTGCTAGTTAGTTAGCATCACAGCTGGTTCCAAGCCAGCATGATCAGGTGGAGGTTTGGATCCAGTGTGTACTGCCTTGATGGTAGAAATAGGATGACCACACTCACGTAACATAGCATCATTGTGATCAAAAACAGCATCAAATCTAGGGAACAGCCAAACAGCATTTACATATGGAGACTGGTCTTGTACGCTAGTTGGTTTTTCTCCATTAGGTGGTTCCAGGCTTACATTGTTGTATCTCCATTCCTGAGATGCATTAGAATATCACAAAATCTGACCTGATCAGGATCTTGTGCTGATTGCCTCATTATTTGGGTCAGAGTGAATGCTGTCTCGATGTGACTGTATGCTCTGTACTCCTGGTCTGACAGATCTGATCGTGTTACTGTTGTGTAAATGGGAAGGTCCATTACTGGTGGTAACTGTCCAAAATCTCCCAATAATAAAATAGAGCATCCACCAAACAGAACTTGTGACTTTGCAGGAAATGCTTGCCTCAGTCTATAGTCAATTATACCAAAGGTCTTCCTCCACACCATTGACATCTCATCAATGATGAGGTATTTGGTAGATGACATTTCATCTTGCATCTTTTGTAGATTGCTTCCTACCATTTCCGTATCCTCACCTCAAAATGACACTCTTGGTTCCCATTACTTGTACGTAAGCAGTGTGACTCTGAACAGCGAGTGTGTCATTGGCAGGTGGCAATTAGATCAAAGAGATCTTCTAAATCTGTTACTTGAGAATAAGACTTATTGCAGATATGTGGATCAACCTTTGCTGCTGGAGCATCACTGACATTACTCCCATCAGGAAGGACAGCAGGATTGATGGTAGAGATGATCTTGTCAGCATGCTCAATGATCTTTTCGTTTGTTGACTGCACAAGATCAGGTGATGATGACAGAAGGTTCTGAACATTAGGAGCATTGAGTAGCCAAGCTAGTCCATGTACATGAGGACTGCCGGATGTCGCCACTCAAACCTCATTCAATAGTTCGTGACTTTAAGTATACCAACATAGAACACTTCCACGAAACTTTCGATTCTATAGGTCAAGAATCAGTCAGCTAGTGCAGGATTATTGACTACTGCTTCTGCAAGAGCTTATTTATCATCTTGATCTTCAGGACAGATGAGGCTAACTAACTCAGGCCACTGGTGATCAGCAGCACTGTGAGCAAAGAAGATAGTGGGCAGTCTCAGAGTGTCTAGCATAGCAATGAGTTTGTTCCTCTCCTTAAGGCAATACTGCTTGGTACCACACTGACTGGTACCATGATGGAGAACTTTCTTCGAAAACCTTTCTCCTGCCCAACTTATCACGTCTCTGCGGTCATGTAAAGTGAGAAGAGCTTTCCCAGGATGTTGCTTCATATAGAATTGTCCTGTCTCATTTCCTCTGCTACAGATTTCTGTGTTAAGTGCAAAGAAACAGAAATGGGGGTGTTTAGCAAATCTTCTTTGATCATGCTTCATTAAATGAGTGAAGTAGTCAGCAGTTTGGACACGGTGAGATCTTATACCATTGTAGTCAACAGCACCTTGAATATTAATAAACAAAACATACTGTAATTGTATAGTATATTTTGTAACAAACCTGTTGGAAATAGAGTTGGGAATGCCATTAAGAAGTACCTTTCTCTTGTGAACTCATTAATAGGAGTAACAACAAAACTGGGCCACATGAGAGTTCATGGCTAGGACTGTCCCAGTGCTTGTTGCAAAAAAATTTAAAAAACAAGATGAAGTAGGATTCTGAACGACTGACGAAAATACAAAATAAAAATCCTACTCGTGATGCAAATTCTACTCTACATTTTACTTTTAATGTTATCATGTAAGAATTATGAATCACTTTGCAATGTAGAGTAGAATTTGCGTCACGAGTAGGATTTTCATTTCGTATTTTCGTTGGTCATTCAGGATCCTACTTCATCGTGTTTTTTTAATTCTTTTATGTTCTTGTTTGTGTTGATTTTTTAATAATATTTATAGTATTTCTTTAGTTGCAATTGTGATACTAGTTTATTTTACACAATCAATAATTTTCTTTATTATTATTATTATTATTATCATTGTTATAACATTTATGAGAGACAGCATTGAATAGACATGCTGAAGGAATATCAACTATCCTGATGACAAGTGAAACTAATACTATTCTTGACACAAGTCCTTGTTCAAGAAGCTGTGAGCTGAGAGTTCCCTGCTATTGCTGTTCTTCCAGGCTGTTGTCAAGTTCATAATTATCATTGCATATCATAAGTCATAACATTAATTAATTGTTTGTTTTTTAAAATAAAATAAAATAACACACTTGATAAAACAGTAACATGTAAAATTAAGACCTTTAGCTGGAAACCTACACTAAAGTATTGCAGTAAGTTCATTTCTGGCATAGCTTGGTAAAAAAAATTAATTGCTTCTTCCAGAGCTGCAGATTTGAGAATGTGCAACCACACCCAAATTTTAGAGCACATGGCAAGATTCTTTGATTAACAAAATGGCGGCATGCAGCTAAGATGGCTCGATCCAGCAGTCACAATATCACTTTTCCCTTACTTGAAGAATGATCTGATGGGACATGGACCTGCGCATAGACTGTTGGAGTAGATTGGTGTATGAGTTATCCTTGTAGCACCAACTGATACTGAGATACATGCCGACAACTGGATTGACAGGACTTGATGATGAAGATGAAACAAGGTGTGTGAACAAAACGGCCGGTTCGCCGATTTTTGGATTTTCTCTTATACAAGGTCTAGAGCCATGCTAGTTGTACCATTGGAGTCCTCTGGTCAAGATAAGGTCCTCTATAAAGTCTGGTAAGCATAGGAGCTCGTTTTCCCTGTAAAGCAAGGCTGCAAAAGTCGTGGCAGCCATTTCGTTTAGGGGTGAATCCTACTTAGGAACGCTACCGCGTTACTAATGGTCTCCCTCTCTGTAGTTGGAGGTGCTGCTTTGGGTACAAAGTATGAAGAATAGTGATCTTCTGTTGTAGTTTCATCGGATCAGCTTCTGATTGTACTGGCTGAATCGAACGAAGGTCAGAGGTCTCCATCATCAGGTAGAATGGCCAAGCTATATTGATTTCAGCAAACAGAGTGCCTGAGATAGAAGATGTTATTTACCATTTGCCATGTGAGAGCCTCTTCAACTACTTGTCTACGAACATGGAAGTATCTGTAAATCTGTTCCTTCTCTGTCCTAATAACCAATACACTGATGTCTGCTGCTAGACGTGGTAGTGAAGTAGCAGAGGTCTGCACATCTTGTGGAAAGTTAATAACATGTCCGCTGTAGCCATATTGTTCATGTGGGAGTTTGTATATAGATATCATTGTGAATATAGCAGATATTAACATTTCCTCTGCTTGTGACAGTCCCTAATAAAATGAAATAAAAAGTATAACATTATGATAACTATTAATAATAATCTATTATACCTGCAATTGTGTTGTTACTGTTCCAGGATTCATATTGTTGCCTTTTGAGAACAACATTGGGGTGTTCCTGTTGTGAGCACCCCTACACTAAATGACTTAATTCGGCAGAGGAGACTGACACACTGGGAAAGCATTCCATACACGTCTCGCACATAGAATAAGTAATGAAAGTAAGAATTACAAGAAGGTTCAACATCTGTGTGTTAATAGGAAATCTCTTCCTCCACTAGTTGAGCAGCCCTAGCCCAATTACCTTCAAGCCATTCCTCTCTCTCAGCATGGTCCTCTTGTTCTCTCCTCAATGTACTTTGAGTTCTTTAACCTGCTAATTGCTATTCTATCTCAGCAGGATCCTCTTGTTCTTTCCTTGATGAACATAGTGTTCTTTCACCTGCTAATTGCTATTCTATCTGGGCAGAATCCTCTTGTTCTCTCCTCGATGTACTTCAAGTTCTTTTACCTACTAATTGCTGTTCTCTCTCAGCAGGGTCCTCTTGTTCCTGGCTCTTTCATCAGACACGTGATCTTCTCTGACAGCAGCCTCATGTACAAGCTATGACAGAGTTATTCTCGTTGTCTAGACACACCAGACCTCACGCACCTGTTAATAAGTATGTTCCAGCCTCCAGTATAGCTAAACCTGCTGAAAAGTAGCAGTAATAGTCCAGTGGTAGCCGTGATCATCTAGTTGTAGCCGTGATCATCTAGTTGCAACCATGATCGTCTAGTGGTAGCCATGATCATCTAGTGGTAGCCGTGATTGACTAGTGGTAGCAGTGATTGTCTAGTGGTTGCCGTAATCGTCTAGTGGTAGCCGTGATCATCTAGTGGTAGCTGTGGTAACATAGTGGAGCCGTGATAATATAGTGGTAGCCATGATCGTCTAGTAGTTAAGACATTATGTTCAGGCCGTAATAACCCAGGTTTCCTCCTCTAATCTCCTGCATTGAGCACTGAGCCCTAGCCCTATTACCAGGCAGCTGTTCCTTTCTCTCAGCAGCATCCTCTTGTTCTGTCCTCAATGCCGCCCAATCTCTGTGAACTGCAAGCCTCTGTTCCCTCTCAGCAAGTTCTTTTGTTCTTTTATCCTTCGTATCTTAACTCTTCAGACAAGTGATCTTCTCTGACAGAAGGAGACTCCATCTGTTGTTTTTGGGTGCTACGAGACATGTCTCTCCCCATCACGCTCGTTACAAAGAAGGTGATGAGCTTCATGACCATCTTGTGAATTACTCATGTTTTAAGCTTCAGCTTCTATTAATTTTTGAATACCCTTCAACACGTTCTATGGAAGTATTTACTCGTACTCATAGTCTTTGCATGTGTTACCATAATTATCAACATTATCATTATAAAATGTGTGATTATTTTCTAAAATGCATTAATAAAGGTAATGTATGTGTTGAAACGAACATACTCTTGTTTATGTGGGGCTGGCTCAGGTTCGCCCCAAATATATGATTGAATTCAACCCTCTTGTTTCTTACATTTTTTGACAACCCTATTTTTTATGATTTAATAGAATTTTTTTTAATTGCTTGTATCTTTTTATTTACATTCATTATTTTATGTCTTAATCTTTGTACTTTCCTTCAAACAACTACATAAAATTGGAAAATAATGACATCCTGCCAACTAGTTTTGATACAATCATTATTTTGAAAATTTTCAATCATTAATAGTAGTCATAGCTCAAAATAATTAACAACGACTAAGATCTCTTTCCTGTTTTGAAACTATTTAATCTTTCTACATTCTGCTTCATTTGTTTCTCTTCGCTTCTGAACTCAGCCTTAAGAAGTTTGACAATATTTAGCAAGTCAGTTCAGTAGCAAACAATATCATTACATTTTCTGTTCAAACTAGACTACCTCAAAAACGGCTGATGATGGCAGTCTTCCTCCTCCTCTGCAACACCACTACCTCTAGTAGCTAGTGGTCCGGCTCCATCTGTGGCTGATGGTTCTGTACCAATGGCTGGTGGTACACAACCAGTGACCGGAGGTCCTTCAATAGCAAGGCTGGCTGGAAGTCCAGTTTCACCAGTGGCTTGAGGCCCTGTACTAACTGGAGATCCTTCACTAGCTGTTGGTCCTTCAACACTGGCTGGTGGTCTGAGACAAGTGGATGGAGGCCTTCCACTAGCTGGAGGACCACTACCA